GTACAGAACTATAACAGGCTGCGTGACCCACAAATGATCAGGCTGAACTTTGCTTACCGCTTCGGTAAAATAGACATGTCTTTGTTTAAACGCAAGAACCTGAAAGCAGAGCAGAGCAACGGCGACAGCATGCAGCAATAATTATGAATGGAACGCAGATTATTATGATTGACACGAGACGTTATGATAAAAAGCTTCCGAAAAGCTTGATAAAAATCGTGTTCGTCCGCATGTAAGTCATTTGGCCGGTGGGAATACCGGGAACAGGATTAAAGATCCACCAGGTGCTCTCACCGACCACATTGTATTACGTGGTTTGAAGTATTAAAAGACCCCATCTTTCCAGATGGGGTCAACTTTTTATCTATAATATTTTCTTGCAATAAGCAGGTGGCGCGGGTATTAATAAATACGCCCACTTTCTTCACTGTCAAGCAAGCTGTTCGCTACACTGCTGTCAAACACATCTTCCTTGTTGGCAATTACCTGGCGCAGCAGGTCGTGGATGGTAATTACGCCTGCAAATTGCTGATCATCATAGGCCAGCAGGTACCTGGTCTTGTGAGCGTTCATAAAATTCATGCAATACTCCACGCTGTCGGTTAATGCTACCACCGGCAATTCTGTAGTCATCACTTCTTCCACCTTGGTAGAATCGCTGGAACGGCCTTTGAGTATTACGTTGCGGCTGTAATCGCGTTCGCAGAAGATACCCTTGTACGCGCCCTTATCCATTACAATAAGGTAGCTGAGGTTTACTGAATTTAACAGGGTGAGTGCATCAATCACCAATGTACCGGCCTGTACAATATTAAAGGCCTCCGGTTTGCTGGAAAGTATATCTTTTACTATTCTCATACGGATGGTATTTTTCTTAAAGTTCGGTTTTTTTGTAATATACAAAGTTCCTTTTAGCAAATATAAATTTTCCTGATATCAGGCTAAAACGGCCGCCCAAAAAACCTTCCGTCCGTTTTTTCCGTAAACAGAAGGTATGAAGAAGGTGGTACATAAACACCCGCTGGCCATCCGCTGGTTTCACTGGATAAACTTTCCGGTGCTGGCGCTGATGATCTGGAGCGGATTGCTCATTTACTGGGCCAATGACGTATACCGGCTGGGCTTTGGCGATACTACCCTGCTGAAATTCTTTCCCGAAAAATTCTATACCACACTGCAGCTTCCGCAAAGACTGGGAGAAGGCATGGCATGGCATTTTTTCTTTATGTGGCTGTTCTTTGTAAACGGCCTTTGCTACGTGTGCTATACCATCTTCTCCGGCCAATGGAGACAGTTGCTGCCGGGCCGCAACAGCCTAAAAGAAGCCTGGCAGGTACTGCTGCACGACCTGGGCATCCGCAAAAGCAGTCATCCGGCAGGCAAATACAATGCAGCCCAGCAAATTGCCTACACAGCCATTATTACCATGGGCCTGGGTTCGCTGCTTACCGGTCTGGCCATCTACCAACCCGTACAACTGGGTTGGTTATGCGCAATTTGCGGTGGTTATGCAGCGGCCCGGCTCATTCATTTTGCGCTTACCATTGGCTATTGCCTTTTCTTTCTGGTACACATTGCACAGGTGGCAAGGGCGGGCTGGAAAAATTTTCAGTCTATTGTAACCGGCTTTGAAATTACAGGACCTGCAAAGCGTACCCTGGAAGATAAGGAGAAACCATCTACTCAAACTACCCATTAACCATGAAAAAAGAATTGATATATTCCGATGCAAAAATCCGCCGAAAAACATTTATCTCTTTTGGCGTACTGATGGGGGTTTCTGTACTGGCTGCCCGCGGGTGGTTTTACCTGAAGCAGCTTCCGCCCGATCATGGACTGCTGGGGGGTGTACAGGAGCCGGTTAGAAAGGTGCTTGACTTAAATGAGAAAATCTTTAATAATACACTCAGTAACCGGCACCTGGCAAAAACTTACCCATTGCAGGATGCGGTAAAAAAACCACGGGTGAATGGCGATATTGGCATGGCGGATGATGTTGATGCTGCCAGCTGGCAATTGTCTGTTACCAGGGCCGGTGGCAATACGCTGACCCTTGGCCTCAATGACATTAAAAAATTGCCCAAAACTGAATTTGCTTTCAATTTTAAATGCATTGAGGGCTGGAGCCAGGTAACACACTGGGGCGGTGTAACATTCAGCGATTTTGCAGCCGCTTATTGCCTGGAAAAAGAAATGGCCATGCAGTACATGGGAATGGCCACACCGGACCTGGAATATTATGCAGGTATCGATATGCCCAGCGCAATGCACCCGCAGACACTGCTCTGCTACGAAATGAATGGTCAGCCCCTGCTTTCCCAACACGGCGCTCCGCTGCGCATGATCATCCCCGTTAAATATGGCGTTAAAAGCCTTAAACGCATCGGCAGCATTTATTTTGACAATGAAAGACCGGCAGATTACTGGTTCGAAAGAGGCTATGACTATTATTCAGGTTTATGATTTTATGATGCAATTGCCAATACAGTTAAACAGAAAGCAAAGGGTATTTTTTTTATATACATATACCCTTACCCATTTCTGCTAACGATACCGGTTTACGCAAGATAAAACGCAAATGTATATCCCTTTGGCACGGGGTAGCGTTATAGTGCGTCATTACCCGCTTCAGGGGCTGTAAAAAATATTTAACAGATAAACATCTGTTCTCTCCCTGATTCCGTAATTGATGGTAACCATTCAAAAAATAAACAAACAAAAAATGAAAAAGACAAAAATCCTTGTTGGCGCTGCCTTAGCTGTAGTATTGGGCGGCAGTATCCTATGGGCGGCCGACCACATTGATGCACCTGCAGTAACAGGGCAAGCTACAGACGTAACAGACGTATATGCTTTTAAAGGGGCTGATGCCAACAGCCGTGTATTTGTGATTAATACACAGGGGCTGCTTTCTCCAACAGCCACCGCTGCCGCTAAATTTGATGCCAACACATTAATTGAGCTTAACATTGACAATAACAACGACAATGTAGAAGACCTGGTGATACAGGCCCTGTTTGATGGCACCAATATGAAGTTTTACGGCCCCGTGGCCCCTTCTGCTACAGGCACCAAAAGCAAGCTGGAAGGCGCCGTAACAGCATCTGTTGCAGTAACTGCTTACAATGCAACAAGTCCAACCATGGCAACCGGCACCAATGGCATTAAAGTATTTGCCGGCCCACGTGACGATCCGTTCTTCTTTGACCTGGATCAGTTTAAAAAAGTAATTGCCGGAACCGCAGCAGGCTTCAGAAATCCGGGTGTAGATGCATTTAAGGGTACGAATGTACTGAGCGTAGTAATGGAAGTGCCTGTTTCTTTACTGGGCAGCACAACAGGCAAAATAAACGTGTGGGCCGAGACCAAGAAGAAAATTTAATTCAATAAAAACCTACAATTCATACTCCATTCTAAAAATTATAATAATGAAAAAGACATTCTCCAACATATTCCTGGCAGGTACGGTATTATTAATAACCGTTGCCTCCTGCAAAAAAGACGATGCCCCTGTTGCTCCTGCTGTTTACTACCAGGGTGGCGACCAGATGGCAAGACCGGCCATCAATACTGTATTTGTGGATGCTGCTGCCAAAGATTCTTTCAACGCGGCAACCCCAACACAGATGTCGGGCCTTTTCTTAAATAAATTCAAGGCAAGACTGGCAGCATTGAACCCCGGTTATACTACCAATGCACTCGGTCAGAATGCGGCCGCTTTAACAGGTCTGCTGGTAACAGATGTACTGAACGTTTCTACCACAGGTACTACTACTTTTTTTGATGGCACCAATGTACTTACCGGCAGGACCCTCTCCGATGATGTTATTGATGTAGAACTGATACTGTTGTTTGGCGGTCCGGACGGCAAATCCAATCCAGGATTAACCAGTGATAATGTTGCAGCCAATGACAAAGCGTTTTCAACCACTTTCCCTTACCTCGCAAGTCCCTGGTAAGATGCAAAAAAGCTAAGCAGGCAGGCCGGCAGTACCGGCCTGCTTTTCATCAAACTTTAAATGACCATAGGTTTTATTTTTACTTAACTCCCATTCACCACCAGCCTATTTCTACAGCAGTAAATTTTACCTGCCACACAATGCCAAAAGCCTTACTATACCTGCTGTTGTTTTCTTACACCACCATTATATGTAAGCCGGTGCTTCCTGCACTGTCTGATTCAATTGCCCATATTTTCTGGTATACCGAACACATGGCTACAGTACACTACGAGCATGGCAAATACCATGTCCACTATGAATACCAGCAGGCTGCCAAAAATGAATATCCCGGGAACGATAGCAGTCTTCCCAAATCATCAGATATAGTGAGCGAACACCTTGCAGGCAGTAATGCCTATCCACCGGTTATTGAGCCTTCGCTTACCGCTTATTTTCCGCCGCCTTTCCGCTCCCTTCTCTGCCCAATAGCGGACAATGATGTCCCCCCTCCAAAAGCATGAGTACTTTTTTTCTCCAGGCAAATAACGGCTGATAGCGGTTAGCCATTTCACAGGCAGGGTGGCCGTAGTGGATGCGCCTGTATTGTTTATTTCAATAACAGCACCGCCAATACCGCGTTTCAGTAAAAATGTATCCTCACTATTCAATTTTATTGTATGTACTTCCAACTTCAGCGCAGTATTGCGTTGACATTAGCAGTAGTCATTTTTGCCATCAATACGCAGGCACAAAAAAACATCAGCGGTAAAGTTATTGATGCAGGCAGCAACCAGCCCCTTGCAGGCATTACCGTTAGTTTGCTGCCAGGTAAAAGTTCAGGCATTACCGATGAACTGGGTAATTTTAGCCTGAAAAGCGACAATACCAGCGGCCAGGTATTGCAGGTATCTTCTATTGGGTACGAAACAAAAAGCATTGCGCTACAGCAACTGGGCGTAAATGGCAACACCATTTCACTGAAATCGCAAACGGTAGAATTAAAAGAAGTGACCATTTCTGCACATGCCGGCGATCAGTATAAGGTTATCAGCAAAACAGATATCGCCATGCGGGGCGTTGCCAATTCGCAGGAAGTGCTGCGCATTATACCGGGTATCGTGATTGGCCAGCACCAGGGCGGCGGTAAGGCTGAACAAATATTCCTGCGCGGTTTCGATGCAGACCACGGCACCGATTTCCGGATGGAAGTGGATGGCCTGCCCATCAATATGGTATCTCACGCCCATGGCCAGGGTTTTGCAGACAGCCATTTTATTATTCCGGAGACCATCGAAAACGTGGATTTTAAAAAAGGGCCTTATACCGCTGCCAAGGGCGATTTTTCTACCACGGGCTTTGTAGATTTCAATACCCGGAACACACTCAGCAATAACCTGGTGAAAGTGGAAGCCGGCCAATTCAATACTCTCCGGGGCGTGGCCATGTTTAACCTGCTGGGTGCAACCGCAAAAGAAAAGCAACAATCCTGGTATGTGGCCAGTGAATACCGCTATTCAGATGCCTATTTTGACGCCCCCCAGCATTTCAGGCGCTCTAACCTGTTTACCAAATACAATGGAAAAATTGGCGCCAATAGCCGTCTTACTGTCTCTGCCAATACATTCTGGAGCAAATGGAATGCTTCCGGCCAAATACCAGACCGCGCTGTTGACCGGGGCCTGATTGGGTTTTACGGCGCCATCGACCCCAATGAAGGCGGCCTCACCTATCGTACTAACCTGAACGCACAGTTGCTGACATCATTCAGCAATGGAGATTTTATAAAAAACCAGCTGTATTATTCCAATTCGCATTTCGACCTGTATACCAATTTTACCTTTTTCCTGGTGGATAGTATCAACGGCGACCAGATAAGGCAGAAAGAGGCCCGCAGTTTAGTGGGCTACAATGGCAGCTACTACCACAATTCCTATATTGGCAACATGCGGCTAACAACAGAAACCGGTTTGCAGCTGCGTTACGACGTTGTGAAAAACGGCGAACTGTCGCATACCAAAAACCGCTATACCCTGCTTGAACGCATCAAACTGGGCGATATCAATGAACTGTCTGTTTCGCCTTATATCAGCGAAACATTGAAACTGACTGAACATTTCAGCATCAATGCCGGTCTTCGCTTCGACCAGTTCCTGCACCGGTACCATAACAAATTTGCCGGAGATACCACACTGCCCGGCATTGCTGTATATAAGGCCAAAGCAAATACCCTGAGCCCGAAACTGAATCTCTACTACCATGCAGACGATGCACTGCAGTTCTACCTTACTACCGGCAAAGGCTTTCACTCAAACGATACCAGGGCCGTAGTAGTACAGAATGGATACCAGGTATTGCCTGCGGCCTGGAGTGCTGACCTGGGCACCGTTTTTAAACCCGCCAAAAACATTATCATCAATGCAGCGCTGTGGTATATCTACCTGCAGCAGGAATTTGTGTACAGTGGCGATGGCGGCTTTGTAGAATTCAGCGGTAAAACACGCCGTGTTGGTTTTGATTTCTCCGGCAGGTATGAACCGGTTAAAGCGCTGTACCTGGATGTAGATCTCAACTATGCACACGGCCGCGCACTGGAACAAGCCAAGGGTGCTGATTATATACCACTGGCACCCGTATGGACCAGCAGCGCCGGCATTACCTATGCCGGCAAAAACGGGCTGAATGGAAGCCTCCGGTACAGGTTTGTGGGCGACCGGTCTGCCAATGAAGATTACAGCCTTACCGCGCAGGGGTATTTTATTACAGATGCAGTATTAAACTATACCAGGAATAAATATGAAATAGGGCTTGTAATAAACAATGTGTTCAACACAAAATGGAAAGAAACACAGTTTGCCACAGAAACACGTTTAAAAGCTGAGGCGCAGCCTGTGGATGAAGTTTGTTTTACGCCGGGGACGCCCTTTGCAGCAAAACTGAGTTTTGCCATTAAATTTTAGCATGCTGCCTGCAGCGTGCAAGGATTTACTTTCACGGTGTCACCTGGCTTTACCCGCCGCATCTGCCGTTTAACGGTTTCCGTATAT